TGGGGCCAAACGATCCTCTCACCTCAGCCTTCCAAGTACCTGGGACTAAAGGCTTGCTCCACCATGCCTGGCTAATCTTGTTATTTAATTTTAATTTTATTTTTGAGACAGAGTTTCACTCTTGTTGCCCAGGCTAGAGTGCAATGGCGTGATCTCGGCTTACTGCAACCTCTGCCTCCTGGGTTCAAGCGATTCTTCTGCCTCAGCCTCCAAAGTAGCTGACAATACAGGTGCCTCCTATATTCTCCACTCCTTAGGAGGCTGAGGCAGGAGAATCGCTTGATTCTCCTGCTAATTTTTTGTGTTTTTAGTAGAGACAGGGTTTCACTGTATTGGCCAGGCTGGTGTCAAACTCTTGACCTTAGGTGATCCACCTGCCTCGGCCTCCCAAAGTGCTGGGATTACAGGTATGAGCCACTGCGCCTGGCTAAAATTGTTTATTTTTTGTAGAGATAAGGTCTCACTATGTTAGCCAGGCTGGTCTCAAGCTATCCTCCCACCTTGGCCTCCCAAAGTGCTGGGATTATAGACGTGAGCCACCACACTCAGCCTGATATCACTGACTTTTCCTGAGTTCCTAGAAAGCCAAATTTGTGACCCATCCTCGGGTAATGAATAGGACTATATGATATACATTACTCTGTACAAATCTTCCATTAGTCCTATTATTTTTCCTTCAGCAAGATTTATAACTGATTGGTTGAGCTGTAATTCATATACCACAAAATATGTTTTTACCCTTTTAAAGTATACAATTCAGGCCAGGTGCAGTGACCCATGTCTATAATCCCAACACTTCGGGAGGCCAAGGCAGGAGGATTGCTTAAAGCCAGGAGTTGAATGTCAGCCTTGGAAACATGGCAAGACCACGTCTTAAAAAAAAAAAATTAGCCAGGCATGGTTGTGTATACCTGTAATCCCAGCTACTATGGAGGCAGAAGTGGGAGATCACCTGAGCCAAGGAGGTTGAGGCTGCAGTGAGCCTTGATTTTACCACTGCACTCCAGCCTGGGTGAGAGAGTGAGACTCCGTCTCAAAAATAAATAAATAAATAAACAAATAAAACAATTTAAAAACAAAAACAAAACCTCCATACCCATTATTAATCACTCCTCGTTTCTTTTTTATGGCCGAATAGTATTCCACTGTAGGAATATATCACTTAATTTATCCACTCATCATCTGATTATATTGGGGTTCTTTCCACTTTTTTTTTGAGTCACAGTCTCACTCTGTCGGCCACGCTGGAGTACAGTGGCATGATCTTGGCTTGCTGCACCCTCTGCCTCCTGAGTTCAAGCAATTCTCCTGCTTCAGCCTCCCGAGTAGCTGGAATTACTACAGATGTGCACCACCACACCTGGCTAATTTTTTTACTTTTAGTAGAGACAGGGTTTCACAATGTTGGCCAGGTTGGTCTGGAATTCCTGACCTCAAATGATCCACCCACCTTGGCCTCCCAAGGTTCTGGGATTATAGGCATGAGCCACCACACCTGGCTCTTTCTACTTTTTTGACTATTATGAATAATGCTGCTATGAACATTTCTCTACAAGTTTTTGTGTGGACATATGTTTTCACATCTCTTGGGTACATACCTAAGAGTAGCATTGCTAGGTCATATGGTAACACTATATTTAATTTTTTGAGGGTTGCTAGACTGTTTTCCAAAGTGGCTGCACCATTTTACATCCTATAAGGATCCCATTTTTCCACATCCTGACCAGCACTCGTTACTATACATCTTATTGATTATGGCCATCCTAGTGGCTGTGCAGTGGTACCTCACTGAAGTTTGGCTTTGCATTTCCCTAATGGCTTATGTTGAACACCTTTTTACAAGCTTATTGGCCCCTATATATCTTCTTCAGTCTATTCAGATCCTTATGCCTGGGTTATTTATCTTTTTACTATTTGAGTTCTTTTTTTTTTTTTTTTTAAGATGGAGTCTCGCTCTGTTGCCCAGGCTGGAATACAGTGGTGCAATCTTGGCCCACTGAAACCTCTGCATCCCAGGTTCAAGTGGTTCTCCTGCCTAAGCCTCCTGAGTGGGATTACAGGCATGTACCACCATACCCGGCTAATTTTTGTATTTTTAGTAGAGACAGGGTTTCACCATGTTGGCCAGGCTTGTCTTGAACTCCTGACCTCAAGTGATCATGTTCAGCCCAACCACTGCACCCAGCCTGAGTTCTTACATTTAGATCTATAATCTATTTTCAGCTAGTTTTTGTGTATGTTGAAAGGAAGGAGTTCAATGTCATCCTCTTGCAGGTGGATATCCAGTAACCCCAGCACTATTTGTTGACACCCTGGTTTCTTTAAATAAACATTTTGATTTTTTGTATTACACGTTTTTAAAAGTCACCTGAAATCAATTGTGAAGTGATACTGGTGTAAACAAACTGACTTTAAAAAACTACTCAACCAAGGTCATACAGCTAGCAAGTGAAAAAGCTAAGACTAAAACACAGGTCTCAGGATGCCAAATTTCAAATGTCCCCATTAAAACAAAATACTACCTTACATGTAAACAAGTTTCATGATTACTCATAAAACATAAGAAAAGCCAAACCAGAAACAATATATTTCTTGGTAAAAATACAAAAAGCTTAATTTGAGATGTTTAAGATTTTATTTGTTTATTTTCATAAAAATCAATAATGGCAGCAGGGCGCGGTGGCTCATGACTGTAATTCCAGCACTTTGGGAGGCTGAGGTAGGCAGATCACCTGAGGTCAGGAGTTCAAGACCAGCCCTGACCAACATGGAGAAACCTTGTATCTACTAAAAATACAAAATAAGCCGGGCCTGGTGGCACATGCCTGTAATCCCAGCTACTAGGGAGGCTAAGGCAGGAGATTCACTTGAACCTGGGAAGTAGAGGTTGTGGTGAGTCAAGATCGTGCCATTGCCCTCCAGCCTGGGAGATAAGACGGGAACTCAGTCTCAAAAATGAATAAATAAATAAAATACAAATTTAAAAAGTCAGTAATAGCTAAAAATCTATTAAGCATTCACTTTTTGTGCCAAGCCCTGTTCTAAACAGTGTATAATCATTTAATCATCATAACAATCTTAGAAAACAAGGTCAAGTGTCTACTTTTTTTCTCCTCTTTTTACAGATGGGTAAACTAAGACCAAGTAAAATTAAGTATGCTGTTCAAGATCACAGAGCTGGTAAGTGGTGGGAATCCAGGCAATCTGACTCCAAAGACTGTGTTCTTACCACTACGAAAACAAATTAATTAAGAGAAAGTTAGTCTATTAATGTTATTGCTGTCTCAGATGAAGAGACAGAGAAAGTTCATTAGTGTGGCGGATAATTCTAGAGGGAAATTATTAGTACTAGTAGCATCAGGTAAAAAATGTTAAATGTCCATGATTGGGGGTGGAAGGTACTGGGAATATTTAATGGGTACAAAAACACAGATAGAATAATATCTAGTATTTGATAGCACAACAGAGTTATTATTATAGTCAATAATTTATTGTACATTTAAAAACAACTAAGAGTATAATGGGAATGTCTGTAACACAATTACATACAGGCTCGGTAAATGCTTGAGATGATGAAAAAAATGTACTCTGTTTCACTAAAAACAATGTCCATGATTAAAGAAATAGTCCTATATTTTTTAAAAAAGATAAATATTTAACAGGGCTACTGCAATGTAGCACAACTAATAACATAAAACAATAATATAAATACAGGAAAGGAATGGAAAGGCAGGCACAAACGCAGAGGAAGGAACTGTGGGAGTCTCCACTGACCACAGAATGAATGAGTCAACCAGGCAGTGTTATCACAGGAAGTGTTGGAAAGAGACATAACACCGCCAGGTTAAAGATTAATCCTTCCTTTATACGATGTATCAGTGAGATCCCTGATAGAATTTGGAAACCAATTTCGGTCAGTGCTCCAAGAAGTATGGAAAGAAATTGGAAAAGGTTCACGCAAAAGAAACAACTAGACCAAAACAATCAAAAAGAGTATCTGCTAGGAAAAGAAAACACTTGGAGCCGCTTTCCAAAGAGAGTCCAGACTGATTTAATTATGGCCCTTAAGAAGACAATTTCAATGCTCTTCCTCAAATTTTTCACAGTGAGCCACTGCACCCAGCTAACTTTTTCCCTTTAATAACATCTTTTAAAACTTGGTTTCAAATGAAATAGATAAAATATATTCATGCAAACTAAAGTGACATTATAATGAACCCCCTCATCACACATCTTAAACAACTATGAACACATGGCCAATCTTTATGTATGCTGTGCTCCCCCCAAACACATACACACACTGGATTATTTCAAAGCAAATGATGATGTACTATGAACAGCCATCTTTATTCTTTCCCAAAATGATTTGAGTCTAAAATACACACAATTCCTTTATTTTAGCAGTACAGGGAACAATCCCAAGAGGGGTTTTGTTATCAAAAAGAAAATCAGTGGACATCAGGAAAAATAATTTCTTTGCTGGGCCCTATGTCTCACACCTGTAATCCCAGCACTTTGGGAGGCTGAGGCAGGTGGATCACTTGAGGTCAGGAGTTTGAGAGCAGCCTGGCCAACATAGTGAAACCCTGTCTCTACTAAAAATACAAAAATTAGCTGGGTGTGGTGGCAGGAGTCTGTAATGCAAGCTACTCAGGATACTGAGGCAGGAGGATGGCTTGAACCCAGGAGGTGAAGACTGCAGTGAGTTGAGATCACGTCATTGTACTCCACCCTGGGTAACAGAGTGAGACTCTGTCTAAAAACAATAAAATTTCTCAAAAATCACTAAGTAATCTCTAGGTGATATATACTTGGAAACATAAGAATATTTTAGGTGCCACATTACAGCAGGAATTAAATTTAAATTTGGAAAGTGTTTTTTTATAAGTTTCAAGAAAACTCACAAGGGTATTTGTACCTATCATGAGGACAAATATCATTCCCAAGCTAGGGAGCGGTCAACACACACAAAATGGAAGAAATCAAATACCAAAATATACCTGTTTATCTTCCAGTGGGTCAGGCTCTCCTTTACTTGACTCAGAGCTGACGTCATCTTCATCAGAACTGTTGATGATTTCCTCCTCATCAGAGGGAAGGTCACCAAGACCAAGATCATTTTGTTCCTCCTGGGATGCTCCTGAACTGCATTCAATAGAAAGCAGGTATTAGTCACCTTCAATAATAAGGAGTGCTAGCAAAACAAATCAACATCTTATCTTCATAATGCAAACAAGGTATAGCTAAGAGATTTAGAGGAATGAAAAGACCCAGATCAGCCAACTTTTCCTTCCTTTACCCTGTCTCAGTTGCCATAAACTCAAATTGATTTTTTGAATTTTTAATCAGAAGGTGGGTGAGAAGTAAGTTTCCCAGTTGCTCCCATCCTATGCCTTTACATATCCCTCCCATAGAAGATCAGGTCTCTACTCCTAGAATAAACTAAGAAGCCTTACAGAAAGTGGGCTGGTTTACCATGAAGGGCTGCATAGGGATACCAGAAGAGTTGCTGTTTCCTCGGACCTTGGTGTTTAAAACAATAATAAAAAACAAGTAACAAATCTATGAGGACTAGGGGATAATGATGGTGACTACTATCAACAGTGCAGGTGCAATTGTGAACATGTAGACTGCTCTCTGGTTATCACTGCTCCGTTCACAAGAGATGGGGAGAAAGAGGAAATGTTACAAATTCTCAGACTACGCTCAAGATCCACTGAATTAGAACTACAAGGGGCACAGGACCCAGCAATTTGCCCAACAATTACAACTACCTGGGGCACAAGGCCTAGCAAATAAAAAGCAAGCATGTTTAATGCTTTCCAGGTGATTCTGATACAGGCTGAACTTGGAAAACCACAGAACCAGGCCATTTATCAACTCCTCCTCACCAGCCTGATATCATCAAGGTTTCTCTGTTTGTTTTAAGATAGGTCTCATGAATCTAAAAGTCATTGTTGCAAACCAATCTGTAGGGGGAATTCCATAGGAAAGTTCCCTAGGAAGAGATGAAAAGAATTCCTTCTAGTATTGGCTGTAAAGACTCAAGAGCCAATTGCCTGTAGCAACTGCTTTTCTGTCTTCATTCTACAATAATATCTGCAGAATAGAAGCACATGGGTGGAGCCAGTAAAAGATCCATAGACAATCACCAGGAAAAACACTCAAGCAGAATAAGGAGACAGTTGCATTCCACTCTGGCAGGCTCTTTCAGCAGGTCACAGGCAGGTCGCTCAACCGTCAAGGTTACAAGTTACGAGAATCTCTAACGGGAATCTTAAAAGCTAAAGATAAATGTTCTGCCAGTTCCTGAATACACACAGTAGGATACAGACTTGCCTCAGAAGCCATTCCTGGAGCCCAACTGTTACACAAACCAGTTGGCTAGAGGCAGAGTGCCAAAAGGAACACCTCTCATTGCCAAGGCAGGGTTTCCCATTACTCAGTGTCCAGGGGCCTCTGGGAGTCATATCACAGCCTCGTTACGTGAGTGCACACCTTATCATAGCTCACCAAGACATGTAGGAGACTCACTCCCTGGGGCTAAGGGGTGGATAGAGGGTAGACACTTTCTGGTCAGATCACTGGCAGGATTCACTGTCTCTGGGTGCAGGGATAAGAGCCAACTCCGCTGGGTAGTTAACTGCTGACTGAGACTAACGAGAGCAAATGAGAGTTAACAGGATGGACAGACTACAGGATCTATACCCATATAGCTAGAAGTAAATGTACCCCCACTTCTTTTTAATCTTAATTCCTTATCTCTTTACATCTTCTAAAACCCTGTTAACACAACACATGTTCAATTTCCAAGTGTTACCAGCATCACCTGGAAGCTCCTCAGAAATAAACACGCTCAGGCCTCAACAAACCTACTGCATCAGGATCTGTGGTGCAACAAAAATCTCAGTCTATGTGTGAAAAACTCTGCTCTAAAAGGCTTTTTGGACCAGCCCATCTGGGTACTGTTTTAGATCCTGAATAGATTCAGATACTTAGTAATAGGGCTGTGCACCTGTGAAGAAATTAGATTTATTTTATCTGGAAAGAGAGCTGAAAGGTGTTTCTTGGTCAACATCATCTGGAAGGCTATTATTAAGAACATAGTAGGGAAACAAGACCAGAGGCTGAACTTGGGTTCTGACAAGATGGCTGGGCTGTCCCAAAGGATCATCAAGGAAACCCAGCGTTTGCTGGCAGAACCAGTTCCTGGCATCAAAGCAGAACCAGATGAGAGCAACACTCGTTATTTTCATGTGGTCATTGCTGGCCCTCAGGATTCCCCCTCTGAGGGAGGGGCTTTTAAACTTCAACTATTCCTTCCAGAAGAATACCCAACGGCAGCCCCTAAAGCATGGCTGATGACCAAAATTTATCATCCTAATGTAGACAAGTTGGGAAGAATATGTTTAGATATTTTGAAAGATAAGTGGTCAACAGCACTGCAGATCCGCACAGTTCTGCTATCCATCCAGGCTTTGTTAAGTGCTCCTAAACCAGATGATCCATTAGCAAATGATGTAGTGGAGCAGTGGAAGACCAACGAAGCCCAAGCCACAGAAACAGCTAGAGCATGGACTAGGCTATATGCCATGAATAATATATAAACTGATCAGATCATCAAGTGTACATCACCTCTCCTGTTCTGCCAAGACTTCTTCCTTTCTGTTTGCATTTAATGGACACAGTCTTAGAAACATTATCGAATAAAAAAGCCCAGACATCTTCAGTCCTTTGGTGATTAAATGCACATTGGCAAATCTATGTCTCATCCAGATTCACTGTCATAAAGCATGAGCAGAGACAACAATCTGGATTGTTGCAAAATGTTTAAAAGCAGTGGACCCTCCCTGCTTTTACTCATTCCCCCCATCCTGGTTTAAGTATAAAGCACTGTGAATGAAGGTGGTTGTCAGGTTAGCTGCAGGGGTGTGGGTGTTTTTCTTTATTTTTTTGAGGGGTAGTTAGTTTTAATTTTATGGGCTCCTTTTCCCCCTTTTACAGTGATCTAATTGTATCACTGGTTAAAAGCAGCTAACCAGTTATTTAGAATATGCTCTCTAGCCAAGTCTAACCTTATTTAGATGCTGTAGATGGACAAGCTTGATTGTTTAAACCAAAATGGGAACATTAAACAAACATCACAGCCCTCACTAATAACACTGACTTTTCTGTCAAGTGTAGATTACCTGTTTCAAAAAAAGCGTGTGACCATTTTGTATGGCTTGTCTGGAAACTTCTGTAAATCTTAGGTTTTAGTAAAATAAAAGAACATAGTAACTAGTTATTGCCACATCCATTCAGGATAGAAGAGAGATTAAAGCACAAAAGTGAACATTTGAAAACAAGAAAAAGCAGCTTTAAATATCAAAACTACTTGGATCAAAACACAATGCCATGAAACAAGGAGAGATTTTGGTGTCTCTTCTGAATCCAGCTCCCCACACTGTACTTGGTGATAGACTTGTTTCCCTCATTAAAATCTAAATTTCCAAAGACAAGGAAATTGAAACTGTGTTTTCTAGCTGAATCCCCAGCATAGAGCCAGAAACACAATGGGCCCTCAAGAATTTTTCACCAAATAAATGAAAATGATAGCAGAAAGCAACAGGTGTTGAATTTCAATGGTACAGGTGGCCTGAACCAGGGTGGCTACATTGAATTAGCTACATTGAACTGAGAAAAAGGGATGGATGTAAGAGGAAGAAAACTCGGGGCTGAGTGGGGTGGCCTGTAATCCCAGCACTTTGGAAGGACAAGGTAGGTAGAAGACTTGAACTAAGGAGTTCAAGACAAGCCCAGCCAACAGAGCGAAACCCTGTCTGTACTAAAAATATAAAATTCAGCTGGGTGTGGTGGCATGAGCCTGTAATCCCAACTACTTGGAAGACTAAGGCAGGAGAATCACTTGAACCCAGTAGGCAGAGGCTGCGGTACTCAGGGGGCTGAGTCAGGAGAATTGCTTGAACCAGGGAGGTGGAAGTTGCAGCAAGCCAAGACCATGTCATTGCGCTCAAGCCTGGGTAACAGAGTGAGACTGTCTTTAAAAAAAAAAAAAAAGAAAGAAAAAAGGAAAATCATCAGGACTTAGGGTACAGGAAGAAAAACTTATGGAAGATGTCAAGGTGTCAAGTCCAAGTCACCAGCAGAATGAGGGTGACATAAACTTAAACAAGTATTATAATAAGAGAACAGATTTTAAGGGAAAGAAAATGGGTTTAGCAGCAAAATCTAGGATCTACATTTTACATGTTCATTTCTAAAATGATTACACTATTTTCCCACACACTTGTTGGCAGCCTTTGAATCTACCTAGATAATTTTAGATTTCTATTTTTATTTTTTTGAAAAAAACAGAGAAGAGTCTTGCTATGTTGCCCAGGCTGATCTCAAACTGCTGGGCTCAAGAGATTCTCCGACCTCAGCCTCCCCAAAGTGCTGGGATTACAGGTGTGAGCCATCATGTGCAGCCAATTTTAGATTTCTGATAATGAAACAAGAATTCCTTAGTGATGCCAATTGTATAGTTTGGAGTTCTTCTTCTATTTATTTCCTTCCCACTGTCCGAATGATAACAGCCTAACACTGTCTGCTTTGTGGGGTAAAGGAACAGGACATAGGGCTTCCTCCACGTCTTCCTGCCTAGTTAGTTCATAATTTGATATCTGAAGGAAAAGGAAAGCAGGCTGCAACAGCAACCAGAACAAAGAGTGGGCTCTACTTCCCCAGGCACTGTAAGTCAGATGTGCTTCTAAAACAAGCCACCATTTCAAAAAATCAGTTTGTTTCCAGTGCACTGGAATTAAGACAAACAAGTAAATCCAGACATAAATTACTACTGATGGGTAACTGTTCCTTCAATTCCACATGCAAACATCTATACATTTGAAGTGAAGACTACAGGATGCCATCACTTTTTAAAAGTCATTTTTTTTTTAATATGCTAGTTTCTCTATATTTACAGCACATTCTCCACTGGAAGGATATCATATTTTTCTTTCAGATAAGAAGTCACATCTAAAGAGAAGTCCTTCTCTTTTAGAAGGAATTATCTTTTTTATTATTATTTTTTGAGATGGAGTCTTGCTCTGTCACCAGGCTGGAGTACGGTGGCATCATCTCAGCTCACTGCAACTTCCACTTCC